ATTTTTCAGTTTTCATAAATCAGTAGTATTGTATCTCTGAACTGCATTTTGTGGCATCAGTGTTGCTACAATGACGTTATAGAGTTTAGCAGCTGTACGGTATGTATCTATTAGAACTGAGCACTGCACTAATTTGTATCACAACTCCTTATACCAAGGGTGGGTTTAACGTCCATCTCTCTGGTTTTATAATATGGCAATGAAATCATTAATACCAGCTACCATCACATGCTTCACCAAAGAGAAGCAGTTCTAACCATCACATTAGGGGTGAGTTAACGAAATGTTTGACCAAATATAGGAGGCTAATTTTTAACTTGGCACATGAATGTTATAAATAAACTGTCCTTGGTTCCCTACCCCTAGCCTACACCAACACCTACATAGACTTTTGTAGATCAGGCTTGCCATAGTAGTCATTGCCTGCTATATGATAGTGTTTTGATCAGTAAATCACAATAATGAACATTTGAGAATGATGATATAATAGGCATTCCAACAGTGTGTAATACATATTTCTAATGTTAATATGTACAAACAACAACAACATATGGATGGCAGTAAGCAGTTAATCTTAATACGAGTGTTTCTCAAACTGGGGATACCTGTATATGAAGACATTCTCGGATTATCAGTTTAAGTAATTATTTTCCACTTACATCTCTTGAAACATAAAAGAAATGCAATCCTATTACAATGAAAATGACATAAACGGTCACACCAATCTTCCAATGGGACTATGTAATTTATAAAAAAGCTTGTTCTAAAATGTGTAATAGCAATCTCATTAAGAAAGGCTAAGAGACACAACCCTGAGTACAAGATCATCATATACTTTCAGGGGTAGACTCTGAAAATCAAAATTGATCTGGCTTTAGAAATTACTCCCCAACCTTAGGTTTCACTGGAGGTTAAAAACAATTACAAGAAAACAGAAAAAGTAATGAACAACCAGCCTTTACATTATCCCTTCTCCCAGGTAAAAGAAAATGATGTCTCAGAGCACATAGCTCTCTCTATCTGCTAATTAAAGCACTCAGATAATATATTTTATGATTTCCACCTAAGGAAATGCAATCTGTTAGGAAAGGCAAGGAAACTAAAGACTTAAAACAAACCAAAAAAGACATTAGCATAAAAACTCATGGTCTTATGTGTACCAATAATATGATGTGGCTTGTGCAGTTAGTCCACTAAAATTCAATATGTATTCCCAGAAACTGTACTGTTTTTCTCCACAATACACTGTCTTTCTATAATAAATCACTGATGCAAAAAAAACAAAAAAAAATCACTGATGCATGCATGTCTATGGGGAAGGATGTTCATTTCTACTGTTTTACAAACAAAATATAATTACAATAATTTAATCTACTATAATTAGGAAATATTCTCTTAACTCTAAAAAAGGAATTGAATGAATTTTCCAAAATAGGAAATGTCAGTCACTTGCAGTGACATATTGAAGCTAGCCTATTTCAACCACCTTACTGGGTAGCTATCCTCATAATCGAGCCTATATTTTTTTAAGGGCACCATGCTTGCAAAAGTAGAGGGTCAGCAAAAAAGACTGCAAACAAGAGGGGATTGATACACAAACTGCAACAATGGGCTTAAACATAACAATTATGAAGATGGTGCTTCATTTCGTTGTACATAGGGTCGCTATGACTGGAAACTAATTAGAAGGCACCTGACAACAACATATTATTTTAAGAGAAATCACTGCTTAGTTTTCATCACAGACTTCTTTTTTAAAAATCACAATTTTGTCTATCATAATCAACTTACTGGACTGTACTACTGCTTGAGTTTGTTCAGAGGTTCCAGATGCAATGTTTGTCAAGGCCCATGCAGCTTCAAACTGTAAAGACGGACTACAAAGCACAAATAATTTTAACAGTAAAAATTTCTTACACTGTTCCAAATGTCTAACAATCATTTCTCCTCTCTTTCTGAAGATATTAAACATTTTGTTTCAAATCATATCCATTCACCATTTTAATTTTTTCCCTCTAATGACAATTTAAAACAACTTTAGTATAAAATAGTAAACTATCTCAAATGCTGATTTTCTGTAACTATTAAGATAACTCACCAGTTTTCCAAAGTTCTCGCCAATTTTCAAAATTTATAAACAAAGTTAAACATAACTGTCCCAATTTCCTCTTTGACATTTACTTTTATATCTCTTGGCTTTACCATAGCTTACGTTGTTTTTCTATTTGCTTTTTTCCAACTACTAGAAAACCCTGTCTTCTGCGAAAGATACATTGTAAAATATTATTTTTTTAAGTAATGTACTTACTTGTCATCTCTTTCAAGACAATGGACTAAAATAGGCAATATTCCAGATTTTATTAGGTCATCAATTGGTGGATTTCTATCACTGGACAAAAGCTTCCTGTAAAGACATAGGACATTTTGTACCCACTCAGTGACTCTATGGGAGAAATACCTGAAAATCAGTGTCTGTCTAAAAATCAGTCAAGAAATCACTATGTGGCAGTTCTGTTACATGGAGTGGTAAGAGTCAGAATTGTCAATAAACAGTCCAGGAGGTGGGGGGAGAAGGGGGAACAGATCACAATGATCAACGTATAATCCCCTCCCATCCAGGGTGATGAACAAAAGAAATATGGAGAAGGGAGACAGCAGACAGTGTAAGAGATGAAAATAATAATTTAGGGGGATGGAAAACAGAAAAGTGGGTGAAGGGAGAATGTCGGGCAGTGTAAGATATGACAAAATAATAATAATTTATAAATTACCAAAGGGCTCATGAGGGAGGGAGGGCAGAAAAAGTGAGCTGATTGATAGCAAGGGCTCAAGTAGAAAGCAAATGTTTTGAGAATGATGGCAACAAATGTACAAATGTGTTTGACACAATGGATGTATGTATGGATTGTGATCAGTTGTACGAGCCACCAATAAAATCAAATTTTTAAAAATTATAATTTATCAAGGATTCATATGGGTGGCGGGGTGGGGGAGGGAGGGTAAAAAGGGGGGGTTGTTCCCAGGACTTCAGTTGGAAGAAAATGTTTTGAAAAGTACGATGGCAAAACATGTACAAATGTACTTGAGACAATGGATGTATGGATTGTTATAAGAGCCTTCAATAAAAACAAATGTTCTAAATGTATTGCTTTTGGGCTTAATTTTTGAGTTCAGGGGGAAAAAATGTGCAGATTCTTTTGTGTGTGTATGCAGATTCTTTTCACATGGTATTTACCTTGTATAAGTAAGGAGCCCTAGTAGTGGAGTGGTCACATGTTGGGCTGCTCAGTGCAAGGTGACCAGTTTGAACCCACTAACCATTCCACTGGAGAAAGAGGAAGCTTTCCACTCCTGAAAAGAGTTACTCTTGGAAACCCACAGGAGCAGTTCTAACTTGTCCTATGAGTTGGAATGGACTCAAAGGAAGTGAATTTGGTTTGGGGAGTATAAGTAAGAAACACTGGTGGTGTTGCCAAGTGTTGGTGCTAGGCCAATTACCACAAAGTTGGCAGCTTAAACCCATCAGTGCTCTGAGGTTTCTCAGGCTCAGAAACCCTAGGGGAGTTAGAATCCACTCGATGTAATGGGCTGGGTTTTTGGTTCAGTAAGCAAGGAAGTAGGAGGTCATCCAAATAGTCAAACATATTCATAGTAGCTAACCATAGAGTCAAAGGACAAAACAGGCTCAACCTCAGGGATGGACTACTGATTTAGAAATGATAGCTACTTTTAGTGTTTGATTCTTCTTCCTACTCTGTGCACTGAATTTACAGTAACAAAAGCCAAAAGCATTCTTGCTTTAGAAACTGAAGTGACATGGAATAAGCACAGTAACACATAGAAAATACCCAAAGATGTGCTAAAATTACTGAGATGAACAATTCAAACACATTCCTGGTTGCTTGAAGTAAGAGGTCAAAAACAAAAACTTGCAGTGCCCTTTCACACACATTGTAGACTGCAGGTTCAGGTGAGGAGTCGTCTGTGAGGTCTAACAAAAGTTCCCCCATTCAAATAAACTCACTGTCATGATACCCGTGCCATTTACTCAGTCAGTTATGTCTGTTACACAATTGCAATTCATTTATAGGCCTTCACATCTTATTCATCCCACTTAAGATGTCCTTTATTCTATTTATCCAAATTCTTTCTTGCCTTAAATGTTAATGTACTATTGTGAGGTGTGTCCACTTCTGTGATTTTTTTACTTACATAACAAAGAAGTTCTTTTGACATCATTGTAATTCAATATTCCCCTATCTCTCCAAAGTCATATAAGGCTGAATACAGAAAAACTGGAAAATTCCAATAACTTAAGAGACTTTGTGTCTAATAACGAAATTTTATACTAATATTCACAACATAAAAATACTTACTCTTAAATTCATAAATATACAAAGCAACCATTATATTCTACTATGATACATCTCCCCAAACTATTTAGTCTGAAGATCGTGGGGTTTTTTTTGTGGCTCTTCTGTTAAATATACCATGAGAACATAGGTTTCACAATATACATGTGTTACTATATCACTTGCTGTTCTACCTGGAAAGATTTGTCTATAACACTGATATAAGGCCTATAATTCTTGAAAATGCGTGATCAACCTGAGGATGAAAAAGTTAGCTTACCTGTGCAGGAATTGAATAATCTGACTTTTTATGAGATTATACCTGTTAATTAGTAAAAGTAGCATTTTATAATTTTTCTAGTTTATGTCATTAACCTGCCAAATCAAATTTTCCCTAGCAACTTTTACATATACGAAAGCTTTAGTATATTTATGATTTTTTTAAATTTATGATTTTCAAAAATTTATTATCTATGGTAATACTCTAAAGTAAAGGGCTTGGTGTATGGCTGTTGGCCATAACATATAATTTGATTATGACATTATTATAAGAAGGTGCTTCAAAAAGTTTGTGGGAAAATGGAGTTAAAAGATAACAAACTTTTTCTGTGAGCTTTTGGAAGTTCCCTTGTACAGGAAAAACCCCAAATGAAGTCCCTGGTACAAGTTAAAAATGAAATATACAAAAAAGAAAAAAGAAATATATCCTTGATATTTAACTTACCTAGCTGCTTGAACTGCAGTTAGTTGAATCCCTTGGTTATCACTTGAGGCATTCTTTAAGAGAACAAACAATTTATGATGCAGACACAAATAATAATTGAGTTCAACAAAGATTAATGAGATAGAGTGGGGAAAAAAAACTTACTTGAACAATAGCTTCTAAAGAGGTATTTTGCTGGGGAAAGGGTTGTTAAAGAGAAAAGAGTGTTAAAAAATCACCTTGAAATTCTACATTTACATAAACAATTTTACAGTTAATTTTATATTGCCAGAATAACACACGTACCACTCTATAATCACCATCTATATCAGAGTCTTCACAGATATCTTCATGTGGTACGTTCCTTCTCTTTAAGAGATGCTCATCTCTTTTATTCTTAAAAATTATAAAGAACTTGAATTAAAATAAACACTTTCAAAAAAGATAAGCAATGTTGTGCCTACACATTGAAATAATGAGTACTTTTAAAAAGTAAAACTCAAATGCAGACAATTAAACCAAGCTATGAACTAAACACTCAAACCACATTAGTATGTGCCCAAACCTTGCATTTTTAAAAACCTATGATTCAACTTTTTTTTTAAATGAAAAAAGGTAGTGCAGAGTTTAAGGCAGAACCAAAATACACATTTACTTAAAAGTACTAAACCATTTTACACATCATCTGGAGGTTCTTTTTATCATCTAAAAGCAAAGTCAAAGCAAACATTGGGCAACTCGGAATAGTTCACAATTAGAGAAAAACCAGCAATGCCTCACAGAAATCATGTGCCACTTGAACTTTACTTAAAATGGTTTGTGACAAATATAGTTCCAAGGATAAATGGCTTCAATACTCATGCATAACTAATAATGTATAAATAGCAAAACTAGTGTAACTACTTTTATGATTTATATTTTAAAGATTACAGATAATAAAAAAGTTAAAGCTTTCCAACTTCAACAACATATCAAATTTAGTCAAAAATTTTCATTTCTCAAAAGGAAAGAAAATGCTAAGCATTTGAGACTATTCAGTAAATACAATTGAGTTATATTAACTACACATTTACTTAAAAATAGATAAATTTGATGCCTTTCTGGAGAAATGTATATGTGTAAGCAGTAGTGATGTAGGCATTACTGGCAGTACCTGATATTAATCAAACTTACCTTTCTTAATTCAACCACAACTTCATTTCGTTGTCTTCTCATAGTCTGTAAGAAATGAGGAAAAACATTAAAAAAAATCATCTCAAATCCTAGCACCCAGAGAAATCCATACTGATATTATACTGTTGACCCCAATTTATTCAAGTTATATATGTATATATTAAATAATATTTTACTCATATGTAAAGATCATCCTATAACAATCATAATTTTCTATCATTTCCTTCAAATCCCTAAGTATGGAAAAGTTCACTGAAATTATTACTCGTTTTGTAATAGCAGATATATGCACAATTAAAAAATAAACTCTAACATAATGCTTATAAAAGTATAACCTGATGTCATCAAGTGTCTCTATACACAGTTTCCCAGGCTGTAAATCTTTATGGGAGGAGCAGATAGCTTCCCTCAACTTTCTCCTGCAGAGTGACTGGTGGTTCAAAACCACCAGTCTTCTTGCAGATCAATGCTTACCTGACAGTGCCATTAGAGCTCCTATGAAAATACTGAGGTAAAAAACTGAAGTGTGACCATAGATTCTTTTTAAAAAGTAAGCACTATTAAATTTATTATTATTCTGACAGATTTATTTTTTCATGATCTTCACATTGCTTTTATTTTATGTACAGAGCTTAGAGATCTGCCACGGTGGCATAAATAGATCTATTTCATTCTTTCTAACAACTATATCACTATTCACCATTCTCACTTTTGAATACACATGTTTATCATTTTCAAATTACCCAACACAGAGACACGTGGTCACTGTAAACCACTCACATGTTCAGAACAATGTGTTCAAGGTCTTTCTACATATAGATTCACATCATTTTTACTCAGCATTACCGTCTGACAATGTTCTACTGCTATCCATAAGGTTTTCAGTAACTAATTTCTCAAAAGTGGACAAACTGTTCCTTCTTCTTAGTCTGTTAGCTCTGCTAAAGCCTGCTCACTTTAGGTGATTGCGCTGGTATTTGAAATACCAGTGACATAGCTTTCAGCATTACAGCAACACAAAAGTCACCACAGTAGGAAAAGCTAGCAGACAAGTGGTGGTTTGCTGATTAAGACTCAAAATGAAGAAACAGCTGTAAACATCTATTAATAAATAAAACTTGGAACAGAAAATTTCAAAAGGCTGCTCAAGGCATCATATTAAAGTATTATAATGAAACGTGCAAAGGCCCAGAGTTAGAAAACCAAAAAAGAACAACATGCTCAACATATCTTAAACTGAAAGAACTAAAGATAAAATTCAAGTCTCGAGGAATAACGCCAAAGGATTCTATGGGCAAAATACTGAAAAATGCAGAAAGCATAAAAAAAACATAAAAGGAAGACACACTCAAGGTACTAAAATGAACTAGTTTACATTCAACAATTTCAAGAGGTAGTATATGAGCAAGAAACAATGGTACTAAAGTAAGAAGTCTAAGTTGCACTAAAAGCATTACCCCAAAGCAAGGCTCTAAGAACTGATGGAATACTAACTGAAATATTTCAAAAAGCTGATACAGCACTGGAAGCACTCACTTGTCTTTGCCAAGAAATCTGGAAGACAGTTAGCTGGCCAAATGACTAGAAGAGATTCATGTTTGTGTCCATTCCAAAGAATGGTGACCCAATAGAATTTGCAAATTATAGACCAATATCATTGATACCACCTGCAAGTAAATTTCACTGAAGAGAATTTAACAATGGTTTCAGCAGCACACTGAGTAGGAGTTTTCAGAGATGCAGGTCAGATTCCGAAAAGGATGTAGAGATTATCTTGATGTTAGATGGATCAAGGCTGTAGAATTTGTACATGGACCAAGAAGCAGTTTAGGGTAGTTGTGTGAACAGAACAAGGGAAAATTCCATGATTTAAAATCAGGAAAGGTATGCGTTAGGATCGTATCCTCTCATCATAGTGATTCAATCCGTATGCTGAGCAAATAATCAAAGAAGCTGTATTATGTGTCTTCATTATCAGGATTGGGGAAGGCTTATTAACAACCTGTGATATGCAGATAACATTGCTTGCCAAAACTGAGGACTTGAAGCACTTGTTGATAAAGAGCAAGAATTGCAGCCTACAGTATGGATTTCAACTCACTGTAAAGAAAATAAAAATTCTCACAACAGGAACAATAGGTAGTATGATAAATGCTGAAAAGACTGAAGCTGTGAAGGCTTTCATCTTGTTTGAATTCATAACCAATGTTCACAAAAGCAGTGGTTAAGAGATCAAACCACACATTGCATTGTGTTAATCTGCTGCTCAAGACTTCTTTTCAATTGTTGAAAAGGATGTTACTTTGAGAACTAAGGTATGCCTGATTCAAGCCACAGTAATTTCAATTTCCTTATATGCATGTGAAAGTTGGACACTGAATAATGAAGACGGACAATAAAATCAATGCATTTAAATTATGGTGCTAGAAGTACCAACGGTTACCAAAAGAAAAACAAATTTGCCTTGGAAGAAGTACAGCCAGTATGCTCTTTTGAAGTAAGGACGGCGAGACTTTGTCTCAGGTAACTTGGGCATGTTACCAGGTGAGACTAGTCCCTAGAAGAGGAAATCATGTTTGGTACTGTAGAGGAGCAGCAAAAAAGAGGAAGACCTTCAACAAGGATGGATTGATACGGTGATTGCCAGCATGGACTCACGCATAGGAACAATAATGAATATGGCCCAAGAATGGGTGGTGGTTCATTCTGTGGTATATTGGTCGCTAGGGTTTGAAACTGACTTGACAGCACCTAAGAACAACAAATGCCAAGCAAGATGCTTTAAGTGGTCACAAATAAGTATCTCAAACTTCCAAGTAAAACAGAACTTATATTTACTAAGTTAATTCTACTCCCATTTCAACAAATGTCAATACCATCCTAATGGTGCCGACCCAAAACCTTACCAGCCATCCTTGATTCATCTTTTCTCTCACATTACTAATTCAATCGGCTAGCAAATTCTGCTGGCTGAACATTGAAATATAACCTAAATTCACTTTACCACTACACCAAACCAAAATGATTGCTGTTACGTGAATTCTGCCACATAGCATCCCCATGGGACAAACAGTTCCATAGGGTTTCCATGGCTGTAACTTTACAGAAAGACTGTAGTAGCTTTCTTCTGTAAGTCAGCTGCTGAGTTTGAACCATCCATCACCTATCATTTAGCAGCCTGCCAGCTTAATCACTATGCTACTAGGTTTATTGATATTGCTATAAAAACATTAAAACATATGCACATGTGAAAATTCTAACGCATGACATTCTTTATGATAGTAAATAAAATCTAGCTGTTCTGTGCTGTTGTGCTGATTTTCAATCACCAGGTCTTTCTCATGTGCAGCTGCTAGGTGCATAAGAACTAACACTTAACCACTGCATCACCAGTTTCTTAATAACTACTATAACTTCAAAGTAATGGTATTACAGGATATCTGCAACATCAAAATAATGGGTTTTTTTGGTGGTGCCAAAGCCACAAGTAATCTTTAGTACTACTACTGTGGTTTATTGACTACATTACTAAATTTCAAGTAGCCCTGGTGGTCTCAGGGTTAAATGTTCAAACATTAACTGAAAGGCTAGGGGTTCAAGTTCATCAATACCATGGAAGAATTATGTAGCAATCTGTTCATATAACAATTACAGTTTTGAAAACCCTATAAGGGAGAACTAAATTTTAATCAGAGGTTACTGAAAAAAACAGAAATTCTTTCTCTAAGATCCCAAAGTGTCCTGAATTCTACCCAAGGATTCTGTGAGAGGAAGAGGCCACAGACGCAGTAAAAATACCGTCCTTAAAAAAAGCCAGTCAGAGATCATGCCATTCCCTTGTTCAAAATCTTCCCCAGGTTCTCCACTTTAAAAGCCTAACCTTCACGTACATATACAATAGTTCTTGGTACGTCTATGTGCTATTTTTATTACCACTGCTATTATCTCAGATAGAAATGCTTTTCCTTCAGCAACTGTAGGACACACTCCCTCATCTCCTGTAACTTTGTGTTCAAATGTCACTCCTTAATGAGGTCCTACCAATCTTAACCATCCGGCAACCTCTAACTGGGTACTTCATTCTCTTTTTTCTCTCTGTATCATTTATCATATTCTAATAAACTGTATTCGCTTGTTTCTCTCTCTAGAAAAAAAATTGCACATTTTTGTTGCTAGCTGCTGACCACTACATATAATAGAAATAATGCATAGTTCTGTGACTTCTTTAGGATCATTAGTATGTTTCAGTCCACTGTTGCTGCTATTTTGTCAATCTATCTCACTGAGAAGATCTCTCATTTTCACAGATCCTCTAATTAACCAGGGTGTCCTTTTCTAGTGTTTGTTATTTCCTAATATATATATATACATATATCCAAGTAAACAAGCAGCATTCTGGTTGTATTTCTTCTAAGATTGATTTGTTTATTCTTCTGGTACAACTTTATATTTAATTCTTGGCCAACACCACACCATCACAATGCAAATGCATCAATTCTTTTTCTAACTGCCTTTTTGAGTGAATTGTTTTGCTGTAGCCATTATATCCTTAGCAATGTCTGACACAGAAGATGCTTATCAAATAATTATTGAATTGAAAAAAGTCAAAGAATATGCATATTTTAAATCAAGAGTTTGCCCAAACAGCTCCCTTCCCCCAACCAAAGTCTATACATCAAGCGATTTCTCCCAACATTATTAATTGCTGTGGGGTTAATTCCGACTCATAGCGACCGTATGCATAGGCAAACAAAATAGTCTCATCTTATATCATCCTCATAATCATTGCTATGTTTGAGATCGTTTTGCGACCACTGTGTCAAACCATCCTCCTTGATCGTCTTCCTCTTTTTCTTACCCTCTATCAAGCATGTCTTTTCTTCTTTTTTTAAACAGCTTTATTTGCACTTCATCCACATGTCATATAATTCAATCATATAAAGAAGAGTTGTATAATCGTCATCACAATCAGTTCTAGAACGTTTTTTCCTTGTGTTCATTGCTATTCATGTAATTATTATTTAATTGTGGCAAAAATATACACAACAAAATTCTCCAATTCAACAAC